GAGACAGAAGAAACATAGTTTTTAATTATATGATTATATCCTTCCTCTGTAATGGTGTGCAAAAAGAATGAGCTGGGAGCCTCATCAACTCTGTATGTACACACTAAAATCAATCCCCTTCGAATCAAATCAGCGGCGGTTCTGGATCTCTTCTTTCACAAGTTTAGTCACCAAATCTGTGTTGGACTCACTTAAAACCTGTTGAAGTGAGCTTAGTTCCTCCATGTTAGCTTTCTTGAACAGAACTTTGAGAATAGAGTTTGTTCCAGCAGGCAATAGACGGTGTCCGGTCTGGATTGTATTGGCTTCTCTGGGAAGAGGATTTGCAGGGAACTGAACTTGTGGCCTGGAGTAAGGTCGGGAATCCCAATATTCTGTGCAGACTCTATTCACGTCTAATGCTTCGATAGCCTGTTTATCACATTATAGTATCTATATGTTAACTAAATTTACAAATGAAGCTTTACATTGTAAAAATCAAACAATGCTATTAACCAACTTTTTCTAGGTATCATAGAAGCTAAGAAAATTTCAAACTTGGTTTTAGATTCTTTTTTTTTTATATATAATTAAAAAACTGGATATGTAAGTTTAGCTGCGATCACGACGAACATATAAATCTGAGCCCAATTAAAAACTTGTAAAGATTTACCTGTACAATTGCGGGTGACGAATATCCAAACATTTCAAAACCGTCGGGACTCCCAGAGGGCTGCAAAGGAGGAAGGTCCGATTTTCCTGCTTTGTGCTGTTTACTTATCTCTTGATTTACTCTATCTCTAACCATCTCCCAGCATCTTGTAGGTGACAAGTGAACGAACACCTCACTGGGATTACCCTCCAAGTAAACCTGACAAGCATACCACACAGTTTGTTGATGGGTAAGATCTTCTGAACTACACAATGACCAAATAATCAAAAGGTAATGCAGTGCAACCTTTTTTTTTTTTACAGAGACAAGATTTTAAGGATTGATTATTTAGTAAATTCCGGTTTCAATGAAATATAATTCTCGTTTCAAAACTTTAAAGGTTATCTTAGCATGACGTGACTCTACATCAACGACATCCAAAGAATGGAACAAATTTCCGGTTCAGATTCATGTCAGGGGAAATGTTCATACAGTTATATTTTGAAATGAAAGAGCACTCTACATATTTTTAGGGAGTTAAATTAGATCAGCATCTATCTACCAACTTACCATGAACAAGGGACTGTTGCGTCCAGCATCCAAAATTTCTGAAATGTAGAAGCACATGTTTGTTGGATCCAAAATGTTCATGTACTTAACCCGGCTACGAAATCCTACACCAAAGAAGAAGAGACATTAAGCACGTGCCAACATATATCTGTTTTTGTTCTCAAGTTACAAAAACACTTAACCACAAGTCACCTTTAGGAAAAATAGCTCGGCTGTTGCACCATGATTTTCCAGATAGCACAGATCCATAAGTTAAAGGCTCTACATTGCAATTAATTCTCCTCACAACCTTTGCAATACGGGGACCCTTCTGGCGGATGAACCTATCCGGACTATTATTTTGCGAACAAGATGGTGTACCTGAATTACTTCTTGCCCCATCAACCACATCCAATATAACCAAACCTCCAGAGTTTTTGGATTTACAGCTAGTAGGTTTTCCACCGCCGTGGTTGTTAGAGTCTATTCTGTTAGATATATCCTGAGCAAGCCCATCAGCCTCGGTACTAACTTTCCCATGCGACACAGAACTCGGTACAATCCCTCCCATTGCTCTTTGGTCATTAGTAGGCAATGATTTAGTCTTTTGTGTAGCAGGCAAAGAACCTCCTTCCCTTTCGCAAATTCGGGCAGTTTTTTTACCAGGAGCTTCTAACGCTAAAACGTGGGTTGGTCTCTCTTGTAGTTCCAAATGCTTGCCCGAAGAAATTGCATATCTTCTCACAGAACTTTGTTTCCTAGGTATGCCATGCTCATCATCACTGAGGAGTATCACATCATTGGGTAGACTCTGTGAATTCGTTTTACCACTTGTAGACTTAGCAGCTGTCACAGAGTGCATGCCTCCTTCAGATGGTTGGCAAACTGAAACTTTTGGATCAGAAGAAACAGTTTCTTCTTTGACAGGCTTCATACAATGGCTTGGTGTTAATTGCTCCGCCTTGTCTATCAGAACTAGATTAACGTTTGATAATTTACTCGTCTTTTCTAACCCTTTACTAAGATCTCCCCTCGATGTTACTTTCAGCTGCAAATCTTTCCCTGAAAGTGCAGCTACTTGTGGACTCGGGTCCTTCTGAACTTTTTCTTCCTCATCCATTTCCATCTTGCTTCCTGAGACATGTGCACTTAATGCCAATCCTAAATCTTGACGCGCCCATCTATATACAGAACTCAATTTTCCTTCCACTGCCTCAACAAGAACATTCAGTTCGTCGATATCATAGCGAAATAAAAAATATTTGGTAACCCATGAGCATGAACACAACTGCTTCACATGAGTCAAACATGAATACTTCTCTGGGGAACATCGGCAACCAGCAGCGGAAAGGTGCAAATCAAAGAAGCATATACAACACTCTCTCTCATTGGTAGCATCGAAATTACTGTGCATTTTCAATGCAAGTGAAGAGTTGCACAGAAATTCCCTTCTTGTACGTTCCATGACAACGCGTGCCTATATAAAAACAGGACAAAGTCAATTAATCACCAAATTGACAATAAAGAATGATCTTCTTAAACCTACGAGTTTTATTTGTACAGTTAGCACCAAGGCAGAAGACGAACAACTCTGGAACTAACATTTGTTTTACTAGTAAGAGGTGTACTAATCTTCTGTTCTTCTCTTATTAGTTGGCTGTAGATTCATGTGATATGCAAGACCCCTCAACTTAAGAGAAATTCAAATTCCATATTCCTTACAGCCTCATGCTGCCACCGACTTACATATATACCTCTAAAATTAACAATGACTTCAGGATTTTCCAATCATGACACTTATAGGCATCTAAACTTGGAGAATCAAGAGAAAGGATATCTATACCTTAAGTGTTTTTGCCAAAATTCCATCCTTTCCACTGAATGCTTTCCACCTTAAGTTATCTATAGTATTTTTCTTTAGTAAGTTCAGCTCCCAGTCAGCTTTCACTACTTCCCTTGCTGCCCCAAGCAACAACTTATCATGCGAGATGGACGTTTTTCTACCCTGTTGACAATATAACTCTATGGCAATCTGCCCATGAGGCAACCAGTCAACCGGTGCTACATTCACAGCTTCGGCACAGTTGAAACCACTATTAAACCCAGCATGATATGCCCGAGGAAAAGTCAAGACAAACTCTCCAGCATGCTGGACACAACGGTGCACAGGTACTCCTGCGGTCTTTAGTTTTGACGGGGAGAGTTGTGTCACCTGCACAAAAAAGCATAGAAGGATTATGTAACTGTACCAAAGCAATGATGTGCAACAAATGTATTTAAATCAGGTGCAAACAGATAGAGGAAGAAAAAAAGATCTATAGAAAATCCTACAAGGTTATTAACTACAAATTGTAGACACAGAATATGATTATATTCTGTCATATGCTACTATAATTAAAATAACATCACCATGATTGAGCCAGATTAATAGGCTGCTAGCACAGCTGAAAGGTTATGTATTGCATGAGAGGTTTTCAAAATAAAAAATTGTATAATGTAAGACATCCATTGTGTGATTATAGAGTAGCAAAACCTTGATTCAGTTCATCAAATATCTAACACTTACGAGCTTATGAAGCAAATCAGGCTGTTCTTCGAAAAGGTCAGGCAAATGCTTTCTCATTGCATCCTCGAGTTTAACAGCATCCTTCCCTCCAACACCATACCACAATTTTGGTGCGCCCCAGTGCATATAATTCATCGAATACAAGTGGTGATCTTCAACATGCTGTTTCGGGGAAATAAAAACAAAGCAATAAAAAAGGAATGTCAGCAATGGAAAATATAAAAACAAATTAAGAGGTAGTAATGAAAAATACATCCACTGGTGTAAGAAATAGTGTCATATGATGACCCTAAAGCATTTGGAAAGAACTCCACATGCAGAATGTATTAAACACATACAAAAGACCTGAAAATACTTTCAGTTTCATACAGAATCTTCAGATGATAAAGTATCCTCAAGCTTACTTATTTCGGAAATTGAACTACATGTAATTCATTAAGAATGTGAAACACATAAATTTGATCACGATCATCTACCATTTGTGAACAGGTATACAAAAACAAAGCACATACTGTTGCGGTGGTAAGTTTTCACTACGAGCCTATGTTTGATTTAGTAAGAGTACGATATCTGAACTAAGCATATGCTATAACATGCAAAATCAAATTATGCAACTCACAGAGATCAATCTTACCCAACAGAAAGAGGAAAAGCACATTCCAATATACAGCCACGGCACAAGGACACCAGAAATATCAGCGCCCTCGTATGTAAGGAGGGATCCCGGAAGCCTTGGAAAGTTATTTAAGTTCCAGCCTGATTTTACATATTTTTCGTCTGAAGAAGAAGCATCGTGACTTGATGATATCTTGGGGAATCCACTACCAAATACCCCGGTTTCAAGGTCGGCACCATATAGCACCTACATTGACGAAAAAATGCAGCAGTCAGGAGATACAGAGGTCCTTAATAGAAAATAAACCTCAAATAAAAAGGAAAAACAACATGGAACAAAACTTCACCTCTATCTCTTCAGTTGCTTTCTCTACTATCCGCCAATATTCACCTTCAATATCCTCAAGTGCTGGCTCCCAGCTGTCTATGGAATTACCAACTTTACATTCATTGTCTACAGAAGTTTCACTATTTCTAAAGTACTGAGCCTTAAACTCATCAGCATATTTTTTGAAGTCTTTTAGAGTGAACCCTGGACCAGGTTCAAACCCAAACGTCTCAAGTTCACTCATTTCGGTGGTTGCAGAACAGGGATCGCTCCTGTTATTAGTGACAGAATCCATTCCCATTTTCATGCACTTTCTTTTCTTCCTTCTCGTTTGACTAGAAAGCTTTGTAATCTTCTTCATTGAACTCCTGTTCTGAAGTTTGTCAACTCTTTGGACACGCGTCGTAAATTGAGAACCCTCCCATACTTGCTTTTCTTTCAGTGGGCATGGGGGTTTCCAGGAAGGAGGAGGAACAATGCGACAAATTCCATACTTTTCAGCCTGCGGTCTTATTTTAGCTATATAATTCAGAGTGTCTTCAAACTCCTAGAGACAGGTTCACAGTTTATGTCAGAAATATGGATCGATAAATATAGAAATGCAGTTGAAAAGTTTTGGAAGTACAGAATGTGAACAAGACCTCTTCGCTCGGGTAGAATACAGGGGCGTCTTCAAGATCAGGCCTGCGAGCTTCATCTGGATGCCATCTCGCTGTTACCTGCCAAACTTGTGAATATGACGTTAGAGGGTTATGAAACAACTACTAGAAGAAAAGATAAGACATCTAATGCTCAAGCAAAAGACATTTTAAAGTTATTTCTGAAGTAAACAGTAACGGAGATCAACCTTCTGGCAGTCTTTACATTCTTCACATCCTCGAACCACGCCCTTTGGTAGAGAAGGCTTCACAACACAATTCTGCAAACAACACAATTCTGCATGAGAAAAGGCAAGGAACACAAAAGATGTGTTAGTTAACAAGGAAAAAAACAAAAGAAAGAACTAACTTGATCGCTAGTTTGAGGCGCGGCATTGACATTGTTTGCACCATCGTCTTCACATTCCCCATAATTTATCCAGGGTCTACGCCGTAGAGACCGAGCAGCTTTCGCTTCATCAGATTCGATTTCCATCTTAGCTTGTTCACTTTCAATAGGAGTCTTGCTTTTATCACCACTACCACCAGAGACAACCCTTTTTAAGGTGAAAGTTGCATATGATTCAAACCCAGGAGGAACAGATGGTAATTCATCACTTTCTTCTTTCACACAGATTCTCATAAGTTCTGTCCCCATTATTACTTCTGTACCAACAAATAAATATAATCAAAGGATGATCATTGTCTCAACAATATCACAACCAAATCTTTTTAAAAATGGAAATAACAATAACAATACAATTCATCGCTAATTATCTCAATCAGAAGAAGACCCATATAAAAGGAAGAAAAATGCTTACATAGCGATTTAGGGTTTCTTCAATTGGATTGTCAAAACAGATGGAGTTTCATCAACTGCACCCAAAATCAATAAATCGATAACAAAAAATCAGAAAGGATTTAAAGATCTGAGGAACCCTAATCATTGAAAATTTACTTTGATCCTAGTTTCATCAGATCTAAACCCTAACTTCAACACTAGATTCAGATAATCACGAAATTTATGAAGAAACAACGCATGTCCTTTTCCATAATTTGCATATTTAAAACAGCAAAAAAAAATTCAAAGGTACACACACAAAAGTCCAAATGATGGAAACTAACCTTTACCAAATTCCCAGAAAAAA